AGCTGCCAGAAAGCCCAGGCACGCCCGGCGGGCGGAGCTGCGGGCAGGATGGGAGTGCGGACAGTGAGGGACTGAGGGGGCCGGCACCCTGCCCCTGCCGCCCCCTGCCCGGCACCCTGTGGGAGGGCCCGTCTGGAGGGGCCTAGGTGGCCCGGCAGGGCTGAGGGCGGCAGCGGCGGCTCTACCCGGGCTGCCCGATTGCCGCCTTCTGAGCGGAACATCTGGAACTGAGGCTCTCAGAGTGGCCAGGCCCTGGCGAGGAGCCCACAGCCCCATTTGCTGCCAGGACAGGGTGCCCAGTGAGGAGGCAGGGAGCAGGCCCGGAACCACCCGCACCTGACCCGCGACAGCACGAGGGAGGGCGGGCCGCTGGGAAGTCACGGGACAGGACGGGCAGCAGCCAGGGGAGGTGCCAGGCGCCTGCAGGTTGGCCTGCTCCGCCTCCGCGAGAGGAGAGGCAGGCCTGGCTGGTTCTCGGAGGAGGGTCTGGGCCGAGTGGAGGCAGGAAGAGGGAGGCATGACCTTGAGCAGCCCCCCTGCTCCCTGGCAGTCACATGGCCCTGCACTGGGAGAACGGACCATCTTAAGATGAGCCCTGGGTGTCGGGGACCCCGTCTAACGTGGTCCGGGGTGGACAGCACGGTGGGGGCGAGGCTGATTAGGGTGCCGAGGCTGCCCAGGGAGAGCGTGATGGCGCATTGTGGGCGTCTGAACACCAGCGTGCCAGGGGACCGTGTGGGTGGCTGCCCCCCTCCCCCCCCAGGAAGGGGCCACATTGTTCCCACGTTGCAGATGAGTATGTGGTGGCCGCAGAGGGCGTGGTAAGTGGTGAAACAGCCCTGTTGCCTGGAAGGCTCAGCCCTTGGCCCTGTCCCACCGCCCACTCCTTAGGGTTTTAACAGATGGGCCCTGTCCTCTTACCCATGTGTGGACACCTCTCTCCTGGCCCGCAGTCTGCATGGGTCACTGGCCTCCCCACCCCACCCTCTCAGAGAGGCCAGCCTGGACCTCACCCACTGCAGCTGACCCTTCGCCATCCCCCAGGGACGGTCTCCCCACTAGACTGAGCTCCCTGAGGGCAGCCTGGGCCTGCGAGGCTGGGTGATTCCACAGGTCACCCCCAACTCCCCTCCCTCCGCGCCCCCCCCCCCCACTGTGGCCTGGGTGGCTGAGCCACTGGTGGTCAGCATGGCCACACCACTTTGGTGGCCCGGACAGGCCTCTGGCCTCAGTTCTCCCCTGAGGCAGGGGGGTCAGGATGGAACCGGCCCACACAGCTCTGGGGCACACAGTCGCCCCTGCCCTGAGCCACGGGGCCTGTCCCAGGCCTTGCTCGCCGCTGTCTCTGTGTCCCCAGGATCTGCGAATCTGCGGCACCTTGTCTCTGACAGCTGAGGAGGTGATGGGTGGCAGGGAGAGGACCCCTTAGCCCCGGGCAGGGGTTGCCACCGCATGTGCTGGGTCAGTGGGTGTCTGGTTGCTGGTGACTGGCCGGGCTTGGGTGGCTTGTGGGGTGCGGGGACCCAGGGCTCAGAATCACGTGCTGTGTCCTGGGTGGGAGAGCCCAGGGTCTGAGGACAGCTGAGCGGGGCGAGGTTCCCGGTGTGAAAGAGCCGCTGGAGGCTGGGGCGGGAGCCAGGTGCACGAGCCGACGGCCGAGGCAGGGGATGGGTCCCCGAGGCAGGTCACAGGCTCGCTGTCCATCTCGGGGGGCCAGTGAGGCAGGTAACTGCTCCCCCAGCTTGTCCATCTCACATCCTCTCATCTGGCCTCAAAAAACAAACTTTGCTGCCGCATCCGAAAACGGATTGTGGTTTGGGCCCTGTGTTTCCCAGAGCTGAACAAGGCCGACTCGACTGCCTGGGTCCCGGGTCCTGTCCCCGGGAAGGCCTGGTCCCTCGGCCGGAGGGACGGAAGCGTTCGGTGCACTGATGGGACGCTGGGCGCTCCCGCACCTGCAGGATGGCCGGGCAGGGACCTCACTCGCCCGGTCCGCGCTGGGCCCAGGGCACCGCGGCTCCCGGAGGCGAGGGCATTGATGCCTGTCCCCCACCGCCCCCCCAGGGTGCCCGGCACGTGAGGCCCCAGCCGGCCGACTTGGCTCACAGATCAGCCTCTGAAGTTAGGCGAGTGTGTTTGGCAATTGGCTGCTTAATTGTGTGATTAGAACGAGTTGAGTGAGTTGTTTGCCCTGAGTCACAGTGAGAGAGCTCAGAGCGGCCTCGCTAACTCGGTCACATGCCGGGACGGGCTGGGCTCGGTGTCTCCGGAATGTTCTCACTGTTCCCATCAGATCTGGGAGCAGCCACTTCTCCACCGCAGGAGACTGGAGTTCAGAGCAGGGTGTCTGTCCGGAACGGAGTTCTGTGGCTCCGTCCGTGGGACCCGCGATGGGCTTTGCAGGCTCGCCGCGTCACGCAGGCGTCTCGGCCGTACCCACCCCACGCTTCCAGCTTCCAGGACGTGGGGCGTCGCGGGGGCCACGCCGGCTCCTGCCTGTGGTGGCGCTTTCAAATCTTGGCAATAAGAAGAGCCTGTGATGACCTATTTATAAAGTAATTCCCGAAGCCCATGGGATGGTTGTCCCTAAAT